CCAGGTCTGGAACTTTGAACGATGGCCAGCCATGTGGGAGTCCAGCACCTCAACCACCATGCCACCGGCTAGCCCTATTGAGGGAGATTTTTGATTCCCACCTCACATCATACACTTAATAAATTTCAAATGAATGAATAAGTATAAAGAATAAGATCATTAAAAGAATAGAGGAAAATATTGTCAACCTGTAGGTACCATAGAGCAATGGAAAAAAATCACAAAGGAAAATAGATTTGACTATAGGGGTTGACAGGTGGCATGGTGGTTAAGGACGCCGGACTCCCACATGGCCGACTGAGGTTCGAGTCCCAGACCTGGCAGCTTGCTTTCTCACTTTCCTTCTCTATTTCTCTCACTCTCTCACTCTATCGCTCTCTGGTCAAATTAAAAATAAATAAATAGGGACCAGCAGTTGGTGTAATGACTATGTCACTGGACTTCCATGTAATCAACCGTGGTTCGCGTCCTGGACCTGGTGGCTTAAACTCATGCTGGGCACATGTGCATGCGTGCCCAAGATCCCAAGAGGAGACTGGAAGAGAAGGGATTGCGGCATAGCCATCCCCCCCCCCAGGGGTGACTTCTCGCTTTCTGTCTCTCTGTCTCTCTCTGTCTTTCTGGCAAGCACACGCACCCTATAGCAAAGACCTCTCAAAAAAAAAAAAGTGAATAAATAAATAAAGTTAAATAAGCTAATTATTTTTAAAAAAGATTTAACTATATAAAAATAGATTTAACAATATAAAATTGATTTGACTGTATAGAAATTGAATCCTGTTGGTCAAAAACCAAAATAAAAGGCAACTGGGGCCAGCAGGTGGTTTGGTGGTTGAAGCGCTGGACTCTCATGTGGCTGACTGCAAATCAAACCCGGACCTGAGGGCTTGCTTTCCTGCTGTCCCTTTCACTCTCTCACTCTCTCTGTGTGTCTCTCCATCTCTCTCTGATGAGCACATGTGCCCTGTAGCAAAATTTAAAAGAATAATAATAGTAAATAAAATTAAATAAATCCTTTTAAAAAATAAGAAAAGAAGGCAACTAACTGGAGGAAATATCGGCTACGAATATAAGCACAGGTTAGTGTCATTCATACATTAAGTTAGGACTGGCAGGTGGTGTGGAGGTTAAGGGCACTGGACCCACATGGCCGACTGCATGGAGGCCAGGGGCTGTGAACTCAGTGCGGGGGTCTGAACACCTGCACTAAGAGTTGGTTTCGCGGCAGTCGCCATCAAACGGGACGATCTCTGTGCCTCTCTGTGCCTCGTTTTCCTTGTCACGAGGCCCTGTGGTTGCTTTCCTGCTCCTGTTTGGTCCAGCCCCCGCCCCCCACCCCCCACACACACACAAAGATCAAACCTCCAATCAATCAGAAGCATTTGCTTTGTAACGAAGCGAAGAGGACATGGGAGTGAGCAGTCACATGCTGGGGCCAGCAGGTGGCGTGGTGGTTGGGGTGCTGCACTCCCACATGACGGACTGTGGCTCGGGTCCTAGACCTGGCAGCTTGCTTTCTCATTTTCCCCTCTCCCTCTCTATCTCTTTCTGGTCAAATAATGATAATAAATAGGTAAATAAATAAAATAGGTGGTAAATAAAAGCATGGGTGACGGAGATGCACTTTAGCAAGGACGAGGCGCACAGGGTGAGGCCAGGCATGCAGTTGTGAGTGGGGGTGAGACTCCCCACAATGAACCTCTGTCTCCCTGACCCTCCACCGCTCGAGACGCCCTCCCCTGGCCCTCGGGTCCCTGCCCGGCATTCCAGCCTCATGCTGCCATCTTCTCTCCCCAGGTGCGCCTTGAACCAGGATGGCTGAGCCCCGCCAGGAGTTCGACATGATGGAAGATCATGCTGGAACATACGGGCTAGGGGAGAGGAAAGACCAGGGAGGCTACACCCTGCTCCAAGACCAAGAGGGTGACCTGGACCATGGCCTGAAAGGTTAGTGGACCGTGGCCACGCACTACCACCGACCTCGCTCTGGCAAGGGCTGGCAGGGAGGACTCACAGCCTGGTTTTCGAAGGAGGGTTAAATACTTGATCGTGCTGTGGGTAGAGCGAAGCCTCATTAATCTGAACGAGCAAAGGTAACTCAGTATGGGAGGGTATTTGAAAATGTACCTTTCCTGCACCAGTAGGTGGCGTGTTGGTGAAGGCGCTGGATCCCACGTGGCCAACTGTGTGGTTTGAGCCCAGGACCTCATGTCTTGAAGATCGCCCCCTGTGGGTGTACTGTGTGTGTGCCCAAGATCCCAGGAGGAGAACGCAGGGTACAGGACTACAGTGCGGCCATCTCTGGGGTGTGCTTTCTGTCTCTCTCTCTCTCTCTCTCTCTGTCTCTGTCTCTGGCAAGTGCACATACTCTACAACAAAAACGGAAAAAAAAAAAAAAACCAG